GATTTGTGGAGAATAAATTAGGATTAAACAATGAGGAATATAATCAGATGAAAACGCATGCCAAGTATGGAGATATGGTCTATTGTAGAATAAACAAACATTTAATTTGCATCGGATAAATGAAGAACAAGAAAGAATTTAAACCTTACTAAGTGGCAGAAATTATGGTCACAGCAATTGACTAATCTCAGTATATAGTGCAGATAGATTTCAAGTATTATATCTGATATTAAATTTAATATTGGATGGTACTGCTACTTATATAGTGATATGGCGGGTAAATACGTATTTGCTCTGATATTGAAGAAGATCATATTGATTTAGCTTTGTTCCTGGAACTCGGTTATACTTTCTGGCCAGCTTACCAATAATTTCTTTACTTACGTTCTCTGTTATCTTATGCTTTCGACTCCTTGATATTAATGTATAATTGACCAGTAGTTTAATTGAAGACATAAATTGATTAGACAATTTAAGGGGCATAGTGGAGACATCAATTAAAATAAATCAAAGCAGTGAAGACAAGCACAAACTTGTTATAAGCACGAACGATCTGAATATTGACTCATTATAAGAGAAATGTATTGGCTGTTTAACATAAACAATAAGGACCTGAACTTGACTTTCTTACTCCTGTGATAGAATTAGACAGTGAATTCAGTATTTCGAGCAAATCTAACTATTCTATGAGCCGAAAATAGTGTCCTGTTGTATTCTCTTCTATCTCTCATAGATGAACTATTTTCAACTAATATGGCATCCCATAATATGGTTGGTTATTTCAAGTCTCTCTTACATTCTTTGTTTGATGGCAGATGACGCGTGAAATGGATGTATTTGTAACAAGGCGGCCATTTCCTTGATCTTAGTTTTTATTTTTTTCCTCAGTAGTTCCGTGTGAACATGCGTTTGTTGTTAAGTGCATCATATTTAGGCAACGATTATGAGGCACTTGAGATAAGTTCTAACTAAATTCGAGGTTAATCAAGCCTTGCCCCTTGAGTCAACGTCTTTCTTCTTTCCTTTTTTTAATTATAGCCTGCTTCCACAAGTAGTTTTCCCTAAAATTCCTACGCCTGTTCCATTTTTTCATAATTTTGTCTATATTGTTTATTTACGTAAAAGACCTAGTCTTCTGAATGATTGTTATATCTCTTGATCTTATAATGTTTTGCCTTATATCACTCCATCTTGTATCTGGTGTTAACTAAGATCAGCCAATTAATCTATTTGGCCCCACAAACCGATACCATTTTTTATAGACTTAGAAATGATTTTGTTAAGCTTATTTATTAACCGTATCTGTTTTGTATTACATCATATGAGGGAACATGATAAGGAAACGATAAGTTATAGCAGAAAGCAGATTTGTAAAATGTTCCTGCTCTTCTGATCTCACATTTGCATTCGCCTTCTATTCACAGAAACGTTAGTTTAGTACCATTAACAGGAAAAAATTAGCATGTGTACTTTTATGTATTCTTTTAGCTAATTTATCCGGCAACTTTTCATAACAAGTTGAGATAATATTTTAAGCTTACTTGATGGCGTCTACATGAAGGAGACCTGTTTATAAGTGTATAGGAGATTATCTGCACAGAAAACATTCTACAAGTTAATATGGAATCAAATATGGCTGAACATGTGTCTAGTACAGGACATCAACTAGAATTATCTACATGCGGACGTTTTGCAGAATATGTAGACTTTATAATTAAGTGAAAATTTTAATCACTTTGAGTAAAAAATAAACGAAAATTGCGATGGAAAGCGTGTTCAAAATTATACGGAGACAATGTCTAGATATTAGAAAAAATTATGGCTAAAAAGCAGGACGAACCTCTGAGTAAAAAGAACAGGCTTAAGTAAGCTGGAGTCTTTTTTATATAATGATGCTCAGTTAACTCACGAAAATCTCATAGACACTACACATGTGTAACCACTCGCCCAAGCATAATTCACCATTGTAGGCTTAAAATGTAGTTTTTTACCTAACGGAACAGTGATAACTACACCCACATTCTAATTATGATTCATTCTTACCTATTTCTAGCATCCAATTAAGGTATGAAAAAATAAACTAAATCCTCAAATGCCTCAATAATATCGCATAATAAGGTATAAAAAAGGAGTAAGAAGATTCGGCATAGGTTACTCAAAGAATGGGACAGTACTCATAGGGCTTTTTTTGCAAAAACTAACAGTCAAGTTTCAAAGACGAATATTCTATAATTTTTAAAGGGCAAATTATGTTTTGTATCCATACACCCTCTCAAACTAATGGGAAGTGCAAAACCGGCTATCTCATTTGCCGCAGCTGTTTTGGCATAATTAATTAAATCTAATAACAAAGAAGTTTTATATTTAATATATGATTATATGTTTATCATAAACTAAATAATTAGAATACTGAATAATTATATGTATGCGTTTAAAAACCTTTTCTCGCGCCGTCTTTCCGTTTTCCCGCCTATTCCCCTCCCCGCTTATCGTGGTTCAGATTTTTCCTGTTGCTGTGATATGAATGAAGACGAAGGCTTAAATGAGACTCCTCAGAAAAATGTCTTGGCTGAGGCAAGTTGTGGAAGGTCTTATTCACCATTAGCATGTGTTTTATGCATAGGTCAGGCACCTATCCAACTTTTTACCTAAGCCATATACATTATTGTTTTAAGGTTTGAACCAATACTTCTGCATTCCAGACCAAACTATTATCAAAGAAAGTGGAAACTCTTAAAATCGATAAACACAATGAAAAAAATAATTTTGTGCTGAAGACACCCAAGGTTTCATATTATCTATTCATTAACTTATTATTTTCAGGGAACCCGAGACAGAAATCCTCAACAAATGGCAGTTCTGGAAGATGTGTTTACGATAATTCGAAATTGTTTTAAAAGGCACGATGCAGTTACTATTGACACTCCTGTTTTTGAGCTTAAAGTAATGGCAATTTACTCGCATACAACTTTAAGGAAGTTCTGACAGGGAAATATGGGGAGGACTCAAAGCTCATTTATGATCTACAAGATCAAGGTGGAGAACTTCTTTCCCTGAGATACGATTTGACGGTGCCTTTCGCTAGATACGTTGCAATGAACAAAATAAAGAATATTAAGCGTTATCAAATAGGAAAAGTTTATCGAAGGGATAATCCAGCCATGACTAAAGGAAGATTCAGGGAATTCTACCAATGTGTAATTAGATTTGATTAATCCAAAGGTATTCAGGATTTTGACATTGCTGGTGACTATGGCCCAATGCTGGCGGATGTTGAGTGTGTTCGAGTAATACACGAAATTCTCAGTGATTTAAAAATCGGGGACTTTGTTATTAATGTTAATCATCGCAGTATCCTTGATGGAGTGTTCGATATC